GTAATCTTAGATATTACGATATACATCTACAAGGAAGAAGAGAAGCAGTTTCTACCCATTCATCCACCTTACAGTTAATACTTTATTATGCAGAGCAGTCTTCTTTCCTTGGGTTTATTTCTCCTACCTCTTAACTATACTCCTCTCCAACCTACCAGATATAGGTAATGGACCCTATACCTTTCGGTCTTTAGACCAGCCAGAGCTTTGAAATGGACTCTTATGTGCATCTGATTTGGTTCTTAATATAAGGCATCTAAGACCCATCTTGGCCTAGTGGGAGGGGTTTCAGTGGCCTTTATGTGTATACAATTCTAGTTTGTCAAAATGATATTGTTAAGCTACTGTAACTGAACAACCACATTTTCTTGTAGTTAATCTTCTGCAGTAATTGCTTGAGGGAAGAAAACACTGGTAAAACCATCCAGTTTCCCTACTGCCTTCACATGAAAGGCCAGGTTCTAGCCCAGTGCTAGAGCAATAGAGCTTTGTGCAATAGTGGAAATGTTTTGTATCTGCACCATCCAATATGGTAGTAGCCACAAGCCACATGGGGCTTTTGAGTACTTCAAATGTGGCTAGTATGGCTGAGGAACTGAATTTTTAATTTGATTTAATTTTCATGTATTTATATGGAAATAACCACACATGGCTAGTGGCTACCTCTTAGTGCAGTTCTAGAAAGAGATGACCTGGGGGGTTAGGAGACAAGGGCTGTGCTCTTGGCTCAGTCCATAATAGCCCTGTTCTGTATGCAACTTGCTTTTCTTTGGGTCTTGGTTTACTCATCTGTCAAATGTGAGGTTAGCTAGATAATCCCCATATCTAACATTCTTTATTTAGGATGTTTGGCCAAAAGCCTGGAGCATAGTGGTGAGTACCATAGGTGTACAGCGCTAGGACTAGAGTTACCTCTTAAACTTGATCCTGATCTTAAGATCACTGATCTCATCATGGTGGGAGGTCTACTGCCCGCTCCAGGTGGTTCCTTAGTGAGTGGCACAGTCAGGATTTCCACTTGCATAGTGCAGGCTCCAAGAAAAAGTATTGAAAATAGAGTAGGGACTAGAACACGGCCACTGCCAGGCCACCTGTAACCCACTGGTTTCAAAATCATGATCCATACTTGTTAACAATACAGATTCCTGGGCCCAAACCCCAAGGATTAGATTTTAATAGGTGTGTAATTTTAATAAACTCTTTCATTGATTCCAGTTCAGCTGGTTTAAGATGTTTGGGAACCACTGTCCCACAGCTGAACTAACTGGCCAATGCTGGCCAAGCAAAAGTAAACTTTGCTACTTTACTTTTTAATGTCATATTTCATTGTCCAGCAGGGGACTTCATTGCAAAGGCCAGAATGAACGTTTCCCAATCCTTGCCCCATTAGAACTCAGTGGCAGACGGAGTACACAAGTATTCTTCACTCCTTGGAGAACCACTAAAATAACAAAGTGGCCCTAGTTTCCTTTTCTCTGAAATGGGCCAATAATAGTAACCTCTCTCCATACTACTGTGTGGCTGAAATAAGTACATATGGGTAGAGTGCCTCAAATGACACCTGGCATATAGTAAGCATTATGGAGATATTGACTGCGATTGCTCTCTAGTTGATGGAGTAAGAAATAAAAGTAAAACCTGGGTGTGGTGGCTCACGCTTGTAATCCCAGCACTTTGGGAGGCTGAGGCGGGCCGATCACCTGAGGTCGGGAGTTCGAGACCAGCCTGACCAACATGGAGAAACCCCATCTCTACTAAAAATACAAAATTAGCCAGGTGTGGTGGTGCATGCCTGTAATCCCAGCTACTCGGGAGGTTGAGGCAGAAGAATAGCTTGAACCCAGGAGGCGGAGGTTGCAGGGAGCCAAGATCGCACCATTGCACTCCAGCCTGGGCAATAAGAGTGAAACTCCATCTCGGGGGAAAAAAAAAATGCTTACTAAAAATTACAAAGTTAACCAATAAAGAAGAAACTAAATGTAGGACAAGGGAGGGAGGGTGGTGATGCAAGTGAGCTGAGTTCTGCTCTCCATAGCAGGAAGGGGATAAACAGAATGTCTCAGATTGAAGCAATAGCTGGGTACACATGTAAATTAGAGATATAAAGGTGGGTATCAGGCCGGGCACGGTGGCTTACGCCACTTTGAGAGGCTGAGATGGGCAGATCACCTGAGGTCAGGAGTTTGAGACCAGCCTGGCCAACATGGCGAAACCCTGTCTCCACTAAAAAAACAAAAATTAGCCGGGCATGGTGGTAGATGCCTGTAATCCCAGCTACTTAGGAGGTTGAGGCAGGAGAATTGCTTGAACCTGGGAGGCGAAGGTTGCGGTGAGCCGAGATTGTGCCATTGCACTCCAGCCTGGGCGACAGAGCAAGACTCCATCTCAAAAAAAAAAGGTGGGTATCCAAAAAGCAGCCACAAGAGCTCACAGAGCTCATGGTAGTAAGACAGGTGATGAGGCAGAGGGGCTGTGGCAGTGACTGCTGGTTTTTGAGTGTGATTCTGATTTTTTTTTTTTTTTTTTTACTTTTTCTGCCTTCCTAAAGCAGAACCTTCTGTAGCTCTTTCAGTCTAGCTCTTCTTCAGAATATGGCAAGTCTGAGTCTCTTCTGACCACTAAGACAGGGTGATTCAAAGCATGCAGCTAGAGTATTCATATTTTCAAGTTCCTCCCTGGTTCAGCTGCAGCCTCACTGGTACTTGAGAATCTTTGATTTAAAAGCCAATCCTAGAGGCTAGTGGAAGGAAAAAATGGAGGGGAGGGAGGAGGTTTTTAAAAAATACACACTCTGTCAAGTTTTAGATGTGGGGTTTTGTTTGTTTTCGCTTTATTTGAGACAGGGTCCCCGGCTGGAGTGCGGTGGCTCGATCACAGTTCCCGGGCTCAAGTGATCCTCTTACCTCAGCCTCTTAAGTAGCTTGGACCACAGGCATGTACCACTACACCTGGCTTAGCTGTGATTTTATCCTGTTGCCCAAAGCCTATTCCTTACCATCCTCTCCATTAATAAAATCAAGCAAGAACATTATTGTAGAGCAGAGATTTTTTCTTTCATCCACAGCCAGGGGAGAGGAGGTAGTTTTGAGTGACATACAAAGCCGACCCAGCCAACCTGCTCACCCTGCACTGGCCTTGCAGCCTCAAATGCAAAAGCAAGAGGCTTCTCAGATTCTCCAGCAGACAGCTCAGCAGGGGGACCTCAGCAGCCCATGCAGGAAGGCAGGTGCCACACACCGCTCAGGGAGGTCAGGAGCCACCCCAGCCCAGCTCCGGGACTTGGGAAGAGAGGGCAGAGACAGTCGGGAGCTCTGACCACGTACCATTTGGGGGCCCCACAGCAGGCTGGGAGCTTTAGAGTATTGCAAATGACATCCATGAAAAGAGAAAGCAGCTGCCATGCAGCCTGTGTCACCTTAGAGGGGTCAGACTGGTCAGTTTATCCTCCTCGAACCTGCCACCTAGAACCGCCAGGCTGAGGAGGCTTTCACCATGACCGCCAAGGATGTGTTCAAAACCCTCACCCCACTGTCAGGGAGCAAACTTAGTCTCCCAGCCCCAGAAAAATACATCCGGGCCATCCAGGCCTCTTCTGCACCTGGGTTATTTACTACCCAAACCTCACCTTGAAACAGCTAAGATCAGGTCATGGTTCAGGATGTCGGCCCCTGCCTGGGCTCACCCTGCACGGTACAGGCTTGCTGTCCACAAAGATGCAGTTTATAAGAACAGTAGGCACGGGGGTATCTCAGAGCTACTTGCGTACTAGGGCATCCAGGATGAGAACTCCAGCTTTACACCGGATCTAACCCCGGACCCCAAGCACACACACTACCCCAGAGCCCAGCCTCTCCACCCACTGCCATGTCAACCAAGCATTTCCAGTTCATTTTCTCCTCGGCAAGCCTGTATTGAATCGCAGGCCTAGAAGTTTTATCCCCGTTTCACAGATTGGCAGGCTAAGACAAGACAAATTCAGTGGTTTGCCAAGGGCCAGAGAAGGGAGCCCAAGTCTGCAAGCCTGCAAGGTCGCGTTCATGAGAACTTTCATCCTCCTGTGACCGGCGGCAGGCAGATGGGCCTGGGTGGTTACTGAGAAAATTCTTTCAGAAGGGCTTTCGGGGACGTGAAGTCACCGCTGGCTTCCCGGGATTCGGGATTCGGGGTTGGGAGCAGCCGCGCAGGAGCGGTGAAGCCAGAGGCCAAGGCGGTCCGTGCTGCGGGCGGCTCCCCAAGGCCCGGTGCGCTGGGCTGCCCGCCCCGCTGGCCATGGCCTGGTCACCTGCAGCGCACAATGCTGGGGAGGAAGAGCCGTGGATTTCAGTCTGTATGCCCAGATGATTAAGAAGCTGCCACCCGCTAGCGGGGAGGGGACTCCGCCGGGAAGTGGCGGCCGCACGTCCCATACTGGAGGCCACCGTCGCTCACCGAACATCTGGCACGTGCCGTTGGTGCTGGGGTGCTGCGGGAGCGGGCCCTGCCTTCGGGAAGCTTCCATAGGGGAGGAGGCGATCGATCAGACCACAGCAAACGAGCAAGATGACCACAGTGGCCCATGGAAGGGGACTAGGAGCAGTGTGGCTTAGAAACAAGGAAAGCCTCCTGCCCGGTGTGCACGGGGAGTTAGAAAGTGTGACCATACTGTTCAGGGCAGGGACAAAACCCAGCTTCTGGTGTCTTCTGCAAGGGGAAGAAGCCTGGTGGTGGGAGCCAGGGCAATCCCCGGGGAAGAGGCGGCCCCGCACAGATCATCAGGGGCTGGGACGAAGGGTTTGGCTTCTCTAAACGCAGCGGGAAGTTTTAAGCCAGAGCCACACAGAGCATCCCTGTAGCTGCCGCAGGAGAGTGCTCGGGGTTCCCAGCAGGGCGAAAGCACCTTGGGGCCGGGACACTTCTGCTCCCATGACCCCCGCCCCAGCAGGGCGCCCGTTTGGGGAACAGCCAGCAATCAGGGACAGCGCCCCAGGCCCCGCTAGCGCCAGCACTGGCAGGAGGGACGCATGGAGGTCGGACGGAACTGGGGAGGGGGCGCTGGCCAGGGTGGTCTCAGGCCCTCCCCACTAAAGTCAGCTCGACCCAGGGCCTCTCTGCGCAGCCCAGCGCGGCTTGCCGGAGAGGCTCCTAGGACCGGAGGGGAAGCCGCTCTGAACCGGAATGATCTGGTTTGGAGCGGGTTGGCTCCCTCCCTGCTCCCCCGCCCACTGCTCTCCCTCTCCTTCAGCGACGGGCTGGTTTTTGCCGCAGTCCCTGACCAAGGTAAACAGGAGGGAGGAGGAAAGACGGCTCTGTTTCCATAGCAACCCAGAGCCCAGAGGGCAGGCGCTGTGGTTCTCCGGGATGTGCGGGGGTGGCTTCGGGGAGAAGAAAAGGCTCCCTGGAAAAGCCACAGGGAGGAAGGACCCTCCCATGCACACGGTGGGGTGCGTTCAGAAGTAGGGGATGGAGGGAAAAGGAGAGGGGTCAGGCACCCTCGGTGAAGTGGAGAATTGAGCAGGGGCCTGGGGACACAGAGACACATAGGGCCAGGGGTCACACCGAAAATGCAAGCGCACACCCTCTTCTGACCACTCAACCCGGGGAGCAGAAAAGAGGTGCCAGAGCGCTCAGAGCTTCCGAAATCCACACCTCCCTGGTCCTTTCCAGAAAACCCTTCCAGGGGGCAGCTCAGCCCGGGGACAACCACAGAGGTGGGATCTGGCCCCAAAGACAGGTGTCACCTGAAACAGGCCACTGTTGTCCGGCTGCAGTATGCTGGGAGGACCAGCTCCCGCTCCACCCTGCTCCCCCTGGGAGGAAGGTTGACCCCTGCGTGGGAGTGTGACTGTGGAAAGGCATCCTTGCTGCAGCTGTGACTGTGACGGGACAGCAGAGTCATGCATAGGATTCTAGGGCTGGGGGTCCCAGAGGGGTGGCCCCGCCCCTCCTGGGGGCCAAGGACTGTCACCATGTCACTACGGCACTCTCCAGCTGCTGACCGAAGCCCTCGCTGACCACAGCCCTGCCACATTCCAGGTCTTCCCTCTGTAGCAACGTGAAGAGACTGCAGTGAGGTGTGGAACTGGGCAGTTCTTCTGGATTCATTAAAAACTGGTTCCACCACAGGAGTCAGCCTGGCCACTCAGGTGTGGCGCGGGTCTCTCCTCATTTAGCTTTCACCTGCATGCCCAGGGATAGGAGAAAACGGCACAGAGAGAGGTGGTAGAGGGTAAGCATCCTGCCCTGGCAAAGCTGAATGAATGCGGGTAGCTTCAGCCCAGTGAAGCAGCGGCAGGGGCGCCTGTGGGAACCTGGGTGGAGGTGCCCTCTGACCTTGGTTTCACTGGGCCAGGGGGTGAATGCTTCTGGCAGTGGAGCTTCCAGGCCCGGAAAACCCAGGCCTCTTCTCACGGGGGCCCTCAGGTGCTTGTGGACTGCCCAGAGACAGAAGAGAACTGAGGGTGGGAGGGCCAGCTTTCGCCTGCAGAACACCCTGAAATGCCCCATTTACCCAGCTCCCTCGAGGGCCCGCATAGTCCAAACTTCTCTGGCCTCAACTCCTACCACTGTGCCTTTGCTTCCTCTTGACCAGCCACGGTGGCTTCCTTGCTGCTCCTTGAGCGGTCAGGCGTGCTCCCTCTTTCCGGAAGTCTCCTCCTCCAGTATCCACGTGGCTCCGTGCCTGGCCGCCTTCAGTTTTTTAATGTGGTCTTCTCACTGAGGCAGAGCCGGGGCTAGGGTGAGGCAAGTGAGGCAGCAAGGGCTTTCCTGCCCTCTCTTGTGAAAACTGTCTACTCTCCCCTCTGCTCAGGACTCTCCTCTCCCCGTTCTCCTCTCCCCGTCCTCTTCCCAAAGAATGGAGCACCATCTTGTTTAGTAGGCACGCTGTTTATTGCCGGACTTTCTCCGTTAGAATGGAAGTGCCATGAGAACTGGAATCGTCTCTGCCTTGCTCTTGTTCTGTCTGTATTCTTCAGAGCCTAGCACATAGTAGGTGCTCAGTGTACACTGTCAGATGGAGGGGCGGATGGAGGGATAAATGGGGCCATGGGGTCAGTAGGCTGTGTCCTTCCCCAGTTCCCCTTCCAACAAGTGGGAAGTGTGCTGCGGCCTTAGAAGAGGCTGGCAGAGTGGCGAAACGCACTCCTGGTGAGGCACACAATGTGAGGTACAGGGGTTACAACTAAAAAGAAAAACAGACTGGCCTTAAAAAAATAACAAAGGTGGAGGCTGCTACTTCCACCAGGCCCAGTAGCCCCAGCCAGGCTTTAAGAGTCCTCCTACATCGACCCGGTGAGGTGGTTCACGCCTGTCATCCCAGCACTTTGGGAGGCCAAGGTGGGCGGATCACTTGAGTCAGGAGTTCAAGACCAGCCTAGCTAACATGACAAAACCCCACCTCTACTAAAACTACCAAAAAAAAAAAAAAAAATAGCCAGGTGTGGTGGTGCATGCCTGTAATTCCAGCTACTTGGAGGTTGAGGCAGGAGAACTGATTGAACCCGGGAGGCAGAGGTTGCAGTGAGCCGAGATCAGGCCACTGCACTTCAGACTGGGTGACACAGCGAGACTCTGTCTCAAAGAGGAAAAAAAAAAAGAGTCCTTCTACATGAAAACTGCTAGCACAATTGGAGAAATTAAATTCATCCTGAGGCCAAGACTCCGCCCACTGGGAAAAGCAGGGTGGAGGGCAATAGCCCGTGTGCTCCCTGCCCCTACCCCACACCAAGGACTCTGGGGATTGTGCAGGGGCAGTGGCAATGAGGCAGCTCTCTGTGGGTTCAGCCCAAGTGGGATGTGCTGGAGGCCTCCACCACTACCAGTGGGCTCAGCCTGGCAGCGCATTGGGAGGGGCTGGGGGAGAGGAAAGAGGGGAGAAGACCCTCTTAGAACCACATTACTGGCAGGGCGCGGTGGCTCACGCCTGTAATCCCAGCACTTTGGGAGGCCGAGGCGGGCGGATCACAAGGTCAGGAGATCGAGACCACGGTGAAACCCCGTCTCTACTAAAAATACAAAAAATTAGCCGGGCGCGGTTGTAGGCGCCTGTAGTCCCAGCTACTCGGGAGGCTGAGGCAGGAGAATTGCTTGAACCCGGGAGGTGGAGGTTGCAGTGAGCCGAGATCGCGCCACTGCACTCCAGCCTGGGGAACAGAGCGAGACTCCGTCTCAAAAAAAAAAAAAAAAAAAAAAACCACATTAGTGCTTCTCTCAGACAGGCAGCCCTGACACCTGCACTGGGGGCTCCGTGTGCCTTTCTGCTTCCTGTTCCTCGCTGTGTGTAACCAGCAACAACAGGTTTTCACAGTTCCATCCGTCGAAACCCCCACTTGCAGAGTGAGTCACCTTCAATTTCCTGCCCGCCTGCCTCTTTCCTGATTGACCTGATAAATTCAGGACAGCTTTTATTGCTTTTGGCGAAAAACTGCCATTAAGATTTACAGAGCCGAAAGCTGGTACAATGTAATCTTCAGAGTAATTTACACAGTGAGTTTCAAAAGATGAAAAGTTAGCATTTCAGAGGTAATTTCATAAAAAGGATTATCAGATTAATCACTATGTCAATTTAATAGCAGTGTCTCAAATAATTAATTAGCTTTCTTGAAGTCAGCAATGCAAGAAAGGACTCTAAAAGGAATACAAATGGCTGTGTCAGACAGTAAGTATGTTTTGGGCAATCGATCTTGAGAGAATTCTTCTTGGAATTACACCGGTGGAATGTCAGGCGTGGGCTCATTGGCACAGAGACAAAACCAGAAAGTGAAAAGCTCTTGGTGCGCCCAGGTCTCCCGAAGAGCCTTGGGACGTGACTGCTGGGGGCTTGTCTGTACCCGCAGAGCGAAAGCTGACCTGCCACATGTTGAATTGTCCTGTGACACCTGGAAAATGTGTCTAACCAAGCAAGCCACTGACAGGTTGCTCTAATGGGAGATCCAGGTGTGAACTGCAGTCCACTTGTGAATACAATCAATGCCTGGACTGGTTATAAACACAGCCCTCCCTGTTTCATAGCAATACCACTCCAATCAGCTGCCACATGGCAGGGCAGGGCTGTGTCCTTAGTGGATGCTATGGATTGAATTGTGTCCCCCTCCACATTCCCCCAGAAAACATATATGTTGGAATTCTAGCCTACAGAACCTCAGAATGTAACCTTACTTGGAAATAGGCTCTTTACAGAGGTAAATTAAAGTGAGGTTCACGCCTATAATCCCTGCACTTTGGGAGGCCAAGGCGGGTGGATTACCCGAGTTCAGGAGTTCAAGACCAACCTGGCCAACATGGTGAAAACCCGTCTCTACTAAAAATACAAAAATTAGCCAGGCGTGGTGGTGCGTGCCTGTAATCCCTGCCACTTGGGAGGCTGAGGCAGAAGAATTGCTTGAACCTGGGAGGCAGAGGTTGCAGTGAGCTGAGATTGTGCCACTGTACTCCAGCCTGGGCAACACAGCAAGACTCTGTCTCAAAAAAACAAACAAACAAAAAAAACAAAATGAGTTTATTAGGATAGGCCTTAATCTCATACGACTGGTGTCCTTATGAAAAGGGGAAATTTGAACCAAGACACACACACAGAATACCACGTGAAGATGAAGGCAGAGATCTGGCTGCAGGTCTGTCTATAAGCCAAGAAACACCAAGGCTTGCCACTAGACCACCAGAGCCAGGAGAGAAGTGTGGCAGATTCTCCCGCACAGTCCACTCTGCTGGCACCTTTACTTCAACGGCCAGAGCCCTGAACTGTGAAATAAGACATCTCTCTTGGTTGAGTCACTCAGTGTGCGACACTTTGTTTTTGTAGCCCTGGGGAACTCAGACAGTGGGGCCTCATGGAAAGAGTCAACTTGAGCGTCTTTGTTCTTAATGTTCCTATGTTTTTCTAACCTTTTTTTATACACAGGCTCGGGGCAGAATGTGAAGATATGACGCATCTCAGTAGGTGCAAGCGTATTCTCTCTGTTAATCACTATTTCTTTTTCTTCCTTTTCTTTTTTCTTCCTTTTTTTTTTTTTTTAAATTGAGACAGAGTCTTGCTCTGTCTCCCAGGATGGAGTGCAGTGGTGCAATCTTGGCTCACTGCAACCTCCCCCTCCTGGGTTCAAATGATTCTACTGCCTCAGCCTCCCGAGTAGCTGGGATTACAGGCGCCTGCCACCATGCCCGGCTAATTTTTTTTTTTTTTTTGTATTTTTAGTAGAGATGGGGTTTCACCATGTTGGCCAAGCTGGTCTTGAAGTCCTGATCTCTGGTAATCTGCCCAACTCGGCCTCCCAAAGTGCTGGAATTACAGGCCTGAGTCACTGCACCCTGCCCACTATACTTTTTCCTAAAGAACTGAAAAAGGGTCCGGTGGCTCACACCCAGCACTTAGGGAGACATGCTGGCGGATCATTTGAGCCCAGGAGTTCGAAGCCAGCCTGGGTAACATGGTGATACCCCATCTCTATAAAAAAAAATACAAAAGAGTTTGCTGGGCCTGGTGGTGCACTCCTGTAATCCCAGCTACTTGGGAGGCTGAGGTGGGAGAATCACTTGAGCCTGAGAGGTCAAGGCTGCAGTGAGCCAAGATCACTCCACTGCACTCCAGCCTGGGTGACATGAGCGAGACCTAAAGAGAAGACTCAGATGCTTTCTCCTGGGGTTGCTGACCTAAGGCTCTGAGCCTGGAGCTGATGGGAGCCCTGTGACTTCTGCCTGGGGACAGCCTGCCCTAAAGAGAACAAGGCAGCAAGGCAGAGCAGATTCTGGTGACACACGCACACCTGGATGCACACACTTGGCCAGGTGCTTTAGCTGCACGAGCTCTGCAGAAAAGCCTCCTTGACTTTAAACAGTACTCGGGTTTGGGTCTCAGCAATTCTGCTTAGAAATGTCATATTCTGGCCTGGTGCGGTGACTCATGCCTGTAATCCCAGCACTTGGGAGGCTGAGGCAGGCGGATCACTTGAGCCCAGGAGTTCAAGAGCAGCCTGGGCAACATGGCAAAAACCCATCTCTACAAAAAAAATATAAAAATTAGCTGGGTGCAGTGGTATGCTCCTGTAATCCCAGCTGCTAGGGGGCTGAGGCGGGAGGCTTGCTTGAGCCTGGGAGGCAGAGGCTGCGATGAGCTGAGATGACGCCA